AGCTATTTGTTAGACTGTGTGAAATGTCAATGAATCTAACTATTAGCCTAAGATATCAGTCTATTAAAAAAAAAAATGGCTTTGGAAAAGGTGTAGACAAAACCTCGTTTTTTTTTTCATTTTGTTTAGGTATATTGTCACCTATTATGTTAAGCGCAACTTTCCTTTTATAAAACTTTTTGTTGAAGCTTTACGCAACAACATATGACTGCAATTTTAGTTCAATATTTCAAGAAAAAAAGAACGGAAAAGTTAATATTTCAAGAGCTGAACAGGGTATTGAAACACAAAAAAACTAAATTTAAAAAATTTTGAAGGAAAGAGTATTGTTTCCAAAGTTTATTGCTTTCTCTCGTTTATTCTGCATCTGTCATCTTGGCTTTTCGTTTTTCTTTATTTTGTTTTTCAATCACTTAAAACTGTTTATCGATAAATACAAAATAACAAAGGTTTTTGGAAACTGTTTTTTCAAAAGTCACTGACAAAAGACTGATTTGGAACAGTAATTTTTATCAGGTGTTCTTTGATAAAAAATTTAGAAAAAACAAAGAGGGCAAAGAGTAAAATAGTAAGCGTAGCAAAAATTTGAGCAGTAAAAATTGAAGAATATGGTTTGAAAGCTAGACCAAACTTTGAATTTTTATTAAAGTATCAAAGATTCTAAAGTTTTAGATGAGTAAACAGTTATGCGCAGCAGATAAGCTTAGGAAATTCAGATTAACAAGAAAGAAACTGAATTTAAATTTAAAAACGTTAACACATTTTGTAACATGTAAAAGACTGGCAAGAAAAAGTTTTTTTTCTTAGTTGTAAGTCAAAAATGTTAGAATTTTTAAAAGTACAAACAAGCTGTAGTTCAGAACTCTAGCAATCTTTACTTCTGGAAATGTTTGGCACAGCTTGTAGCCAAATATTGGTTATTTGGAGGTTTCTTTGCTGGATAACACTTTTNNNTTTTGAAAGGTCATAAGAAAACCGACTGCTACAATTTTGCTTAAATTGCGCCCAATGACTTTAAGAAGTTTTGGTGCGTTTTAGA